CAGTTGAGGGGCTTGGGGTATAGAACTTAATAAGGTCTGTGCTTCCTGAGGAATAATTACATGACCTCCAGATTTCTAACACTGCTGTGATCTCTACTAGATTTACTTGTTAGGATCTTAACAGGGACATGTCCCAGTGGCTCCTCAAATTCAACATGTCTGAAGCCACTTTGGCTACAGCTTAAGCTCAGAACTTCATTCTGTGTCACTCGAATCCTACCTCCTAGTGAGTCAATGGGTTCAGTCCAAATCTGCTCCTTCTCCCATATTGCTCATTTCTGTGGGTGACTGTATTACTCATCACTTGTATCAGTCACCTCTACTTCCCCCCTCCTCTGACTCCTTCCTTTCTCTCCCCTCTTCTCTCTCTCTCTCTCTCTCTCTCTCTCTCTCTCTCTGTTTCCCCTCTCTCTCCTCCCTTTCTTATATTTCTCCTCTAGTTCAGTCCCTCAACACAGATATCTGGGTTAGTTCAATAACTCCTCCCAACTACTCTTCCTTTCTCCAGCCTGACCCACTGCAATCCACAGCTGTACAAATCCATTCATACCTCATTCCTATTTTAGAAACTTAAATACCTCTCTTGGCTTTCAGAATAATCTTCAACCCTTTAACTGGCTAGAATGATCTAACTCTTGCTTACCCCTGTCCCCATCTCTTCTCACTCTTCCAGGTGGGATTCTTTGATCTAGCCATTTTGATCTACTGAATGTTAACTCTGCGCTCGCCCTTCTCAGTGCCGTCCTCAGCAGGGAGGGCCCTTCCCACCTCTTCTCCCATCCCACACCTACTCACCTGGAAATCTCAGCTCCAACGCTATTGCTCTGGGAGAGCTTCCCAGATCACCTGGCCATCGTTCACCATGTGTGTCCCTCAAAATGCTTGGCACAAAGGGTTCTTTGGTCACATAAATTAAGGACTTTTCCCCTCCCTGGAATTTATAATAAATATTACAATATTAAAGTTCTGAAAAAGATTGCTATGCAAAGACCTATTTATCTTTGATCCAATGTTTCCCAAACTTACTTGAGCATTTATTTTTTTCCCACAAACCCATTATCATGCTTCTTTGGAAAATTTTGCCTTAGTATAATTTAGAGAGAACTTCCTTTGTTCCTATAATATTTCAGGCATAGCTCTATCATGCTACTTATCACATGGCACTGTAATAATGAAGTCATTTTCTAATGGGTCTCTCATGAGATACAATAGACTGACTGCAAATGCCTTGGTGATGAAATAATCACCTTGTTTTCATCAGTGTTATATGTCCAACAACTAGAACACATTTTAAATGGCTGATATATATTTTATAAATAAATATATTATTTGGCCAAAAAAGAACCATCTAAATTTATTGCTATCAACAATTAACAGATATTATTTAAAGAATGCATGCAATAAAATTGTTTTGCCAAAATATCTTAATATCCAAGGCAATACAATTGGCATGCTTTCTGAGAGTGCCATGTTTAAGTGAATTTCTTAATGTCTTTATTCTGAAGATGAGAGTCTATGGTCTGGCATGCCAACTTGGCATTGGTATGTAAATTTCTTTATTGTTTTGGGAGTCAGTTCTGGATTTGTTGCTGTTGCTTTGTGTTTTGTTATTGAGAAGCCAAAACTAAAGAATACATCAATTGTAAGTTATTTGGAAGTCATTCTATGCTCCAACAGTGGGTGGCTTTAAAGCCAGTACAAACTGTCAGAGCAGTTTCAGTAAGAGTCTTAGGAAGCTCTTACTTTTTAAATATTAAGCTCAAATCTAAAATTACCTTAAGAGATATTAACACTGAAATCAGAAAATCTGTATTCTAGTTTAATCACTTGTAATGTGATTTTGGGATGACCATTTAATCTCACTGAGCCCTGTTTCTTCCCCTGTTAACTGAGGGGCTGGTAGTCCTATTCTCTGTTTTTGGTCCAGGCCCTCACATGAGAGCACAGAAAGAAACAGATCCCCAGTGTTCATCAGAGCTCCTGTGAGAGTGGATTCCAATGAAGGGACTAACAAAGGTATCCCGGGGCTTTGAACAAGGTCTGTCCATGTGGGCCTTGCTACTCAATCGGGCGCACATGCTACCATAATCCAAGGATGGTAACTTGTTGGTCCTGCAGATCCTCTGAAGGAGGGTCCCATGGTGCTGGGTGGGCATGATGCAGGGCAGAGAGCCAAGATGAACCGTGGATCCCCCTGGAGGTGGAGCAGAGAGGCGAGGCTTTCCTAACTAAAATGATGCAGGATGGATGTAAGAAGAGCCCCAGCCATGATCTCTCAAAGACTCTTATATGGTAGAAGAATGGAGTCTTCCAAAGTATGTGTGAAATAATGCAAGGGTAGTTTGGGTCTCTCAGTCCCTCAAAGGAGCCAGTTACTCCTGCCCAGAGTCTATGCCCTCCATGCTGTCCCTTTGCTTGGTCTTCTCCAAACACCCCAGTTGCCTTCTTAAGTCTTACTCTTGGGTAAGAACAATACCTCCCCAGGGTTGTTATGAGGAATAAACTAACAGGTACATTAGGACATTCCAAAGCACTCAGCATTATTAGCTGTTATTATTATTAAATATGAATTTTTGGTCAGATATTATCACAATGCTTCCCCAAATTAGACATCCTTGACCTCTCTATCTGGATGGATCACCAAATTCCAACTTCCCTCCCCTTGACTACCATTGTGATTTTGTATTATATTGTGATGTGATCGCCCCAAAGTGTCTCGTTCTTGCCAACCAGATAGATGTAGATCATGAGAGCAGGGGATGTATTATCAGGGCCTAGCACAGTGTCATGCACACAGTAGGCACTCATTTAGCATTCAGTGAATAAGTTAGTTAATTTTAAAGCCTCTGCCTTTTTCCTTTAAGAACCCAGGTATTTCTTTTTCTATTGTGGAAATAAGCTTTAAAAAAGCAAAGGTAAGTTTTTATATAGCACTATGGTCTGTGAAACCACACAATCACAGTGTGCTTAACTGCCTGATTTATTTTGTACCCCAAGAAAAATGATCAGAACATTGCATAAAAGAGCTGCATAATGCAGTCTCAAGAACATCTTTGAATAGTTTTCAAAGTAATCAATGGTATTGCTGGGAAACTGTTGCCCAAATGAAGAGCTCTTGTCCAGCGAATCCATGGAGTAATAGATAGACAATTTTCCTTGCTAACACTTTTGTGGCTAAAGAAGAACCCGTTATCAGAGGCAGCAGTAAAAACTTTTCTCAGTAGGCAAGAACGGTCTAAATTTGTTTCCTAGCAACAGGTTCTTCAAAGGAGCTGAAGGATACACAATTTCAGAAGAATTTTCAGTGCACTTTTTTGTTTGAAGGGATGAGAGGTGGAGAGGGGGAAATAAAAGTCAGGGTATGATCAGAGCAGTGCTTCCTCCAGTTAGAGACACAGGTGAGATCTTTTGAATCACAGTATAGGATCCATCTAAGAAATCCAGTCCGATAAAAATGGATGAGGCACCTACCTGTGCAAAGAGAAATTATCCCTGTTCTTTATGGGCCCCGCAATTTAAGAATTTAACAATTTGTCATTCTATGAGCCCCACTCCCAACCATCATCATGGATAGTAGACGAGGAATTGGGTGGCTTGCTAAAATGTTTAGGGATCTCCCAGTGTGAACATCCATTGAATTATACTCAGCAGTTGGAAGAATGAAGATTGGAGAAAAGCAATCTAGGAGAGAAATTGGGGGAACTTTGACTTCCATGAATGGAAACATCTTACCCAAGCAAGACTCTCTCCATAGCTATCTTCCTAGCTCCCATTTTGTGGATTGATGTTCTTAATTTGTTCTTAATATGTTCTTAATTTGATTTTCCAGCTTTGCCTTCTGATAATAATAATAACAACAACAGTAACAACAACAGATAGTATTTATCGAGTCCCCACTATGGGGACTAGTTCATGTAACTATTTTACATATATTATCTTATTTAACCCTTACAATAGTTCTTTGAAATAGCCAACATTATTATTTCTATCAATCTCAGAGCATTGAATCAATTTGTGCAAATCACACTATCATTAAAAAAAAAAAATGGCAGAGCTTGGAGAAATGCTCCTCACTGAAGTAACTCGTCTGACCTATCCAGATCCATGTGGGTGGCGTGGCAAGATCTTTTGTGTGTCTGAGGACACCATGACCTGAGTGCTCCATCTTGGAGAAGACCTGGAACCATGTGAATCTCAGAAAGCAAACAGTTTATATCAATCATGGGGACTTCCCTGCCATTCCCTGTTAGACCTACTACCCTGAAAATTACCCCTTTGGATAGAACCATAATAGATCCAATAAATTATGGCTTGGGAAGCAAGCTAAATTGTCTGGTGGGCTGCCACACTGAAAAAAATTGCCTGCGCAATTGGCAAATTCCTTCCAAGCACAGGCACGGTCTGCTTGTTCCTCCCCTTTCACTGCCATCTTGAATAAAGAGAAAACTGGCATTGGCTCCAATCCCCCTCCTTGCACGCCCCACAAAAGCTTTTATTTCTTGGAAAAGAAAACTGTCCATTTATCCTAATAAGCATGAATTAAGAAAATCACAATTTTTAGGAGTAGTTTCATCTAGTGGAACAATGTGTCCAAACAGAGCCTGCAAGAACAAGGTATAATGTTAGCGTAAACCAGAAGCAAGAGAATGACGTGGGTCTAAGCCGTGGAACTAGGCAACCAGACTCATCATATTTCCTCTCTCTGAGATTAGACCTGGGAGACAAAGTGAGCATCAAGTGATCTTGAAATACTAGGATATTTAGGGGCAGGGAGCTAAACATGCAATGAGATATGGCAGTTAACTTAAATGTTCTCTTTGTGGGCTACGGCTCCCTCTATCCCCAAGACAAGTCTTCCAATTAGTATAATTTCATCTTTAGGCAACTCATTTTTTTTTCATCAGTGGCTGTACCTTCAAAAGCAATTCGGCGCCTTTTTCATTTTGAATCAATTACTGTACAATTTTTTTTTTACATAATTTTTTCTCTCTTTGTTTCAGAGGCTACTCTTTAAAGACAGGCACTTCACCTGCAGCAAAATGTAAGTATATTTCCTCCTTGAAATGGTATCTACTTCTCAGCTGTAATTCCTAAAAGCCTCCTAATCTTTAAGGCTCCCAGCTCACATTGTTGCATTTTTAAAGTCTGGCTCAACAAATGCTGTCACAGTTTGAATATAACATTTCACACTATTGATGTGTATAACATCATGGAGCATTTTAGGAATCGTTTTGGATGCAGATTGAAACTGATTGTGGCTGTGACAATATTGCATCTAAAAAGCTAGGTCAAAATGAGGATCGAAAATTTAGGCGATATTCTTTTAGACATTATGATCATGTGACATTGAACATTTGAATATTCAGATTCTCTCAAATGGCTAATTTACATCTCTTTGCCTGCGTGCTCCTCACCTCATAGTCACAGACTGTTTCTTGTTTATGAGCAGGTTTTTAGAGCATGGTAGTTACCTTAATAATTCCTTCCTGTGTGTACTGTGTTACAGCCACTCAGCAAACCAGTGTTCTTTCTAGAACTAATCTCCTGTGCATTATGTTTCTTTATTCTTGGTACTCCCAGTGTCTATACCCAAGTTACCAACCCCTTCTATTCTGAAAGACCAAATAAAATTACAGTAGGTCTGAACAGAGAGTTCTGAGTATTTTCCAGTTTTGCCTTGGCAATTAGGATGTGAATAGTGTTGTTTTTCTTTTTTAATAAAATAAAGGTAAGAATAATTTTAACCAAAAATAACAAAAAGAAAGTTCCTTCTGTCTCTGGAACAATTTGATAATACCCAAATTCCAAAAGCAGGGGATAGATTTATATCCAGCATAAAGATCCCAGCTGTTCAAAAGTAGCTCAAAATGTAGTGAGTTGCCTGTCACACTAAACAAGAGAACAACAACTATAAGGTAGGTGGTTGAGCCAGGTAAACCATGAAAAGGACATCAACTCTCAGCTCCTGATTCATATAGAATTTCCAATAGAGGACACAGCTAAGCAGTCACTGAAGCATTTAATTAGACATTCTTAGGCCTATCAGAATCCAGAAATCTCATTTGAACTGTGCATATTATACAAGTTCTGATAAATTCTCTTTTGAATCATTCAGTGGCTGAAAAAACTATGTGTTCAGCTGAACTGCCAGAAAAACTTAGTTTTTACTGATTTTCCTGGGTATTTTTTGTTTGCTCTCTAGAATACTTTGATCCCAGTGCTGTAGACCAAATATTCAAACATCAGCACAAGACACACTCTAAAAATCATTCAGATTTAATGCCGAGGTATTATGTATTCACTGGAATGCTTTCAAATGTCAATCTCTGTATTATATTGCTTTGGTCTTTATTACATTATCAAGATACCTGCATGTTACAAAGGTTTTAAGCAGCTTTCACCAATGAAGTCATGTTAGATTTTATGAGCAGTCTTCCTTTTCATGTGCTGTCATGAGCATACTATTTGTACAAATGTAAACTTTTGACTGCATTCTTTCTTTTCAACGTGGAACGCTGTTCAGGGAAAATTGCCTATGTTTACTTTCCTGCATGTGCATATTTGATAGCTCTTTATCATACTGTTACTGCCAATTTAGGTTTGCCACTATTTTATATGATGATGTTGAACACTAAAAGATAGCTGGTATATGTTCATGGTGAAAATTAGACAAAGGGCAATTTAAGAAAGCATTTTAAGTCATTATATGTAAATTTAAACACATATATATTATTCCCTCAATCTCTTTATCAAAATTTCTGTTGAAAGCACCCTTCAACTCCTAGATTGGGGGAAAAAACAGGAAGCTGGCTATTTTACCTTAGTAGGCTCAATGTGTGATGGCTATATTTTCACTTTTTTTTTTCAAGGACATACCAAGTGCTTGGTGACTTATTTTATTAGTATATATTCTGGGAAGTAAACTTGCATTGGGATTTTACATCATCCAGACAAAAATGGGTCTGCCTGACTCCCCAAGCCATCTCTGAGCAACTGGGGAAGGTTGGTCTGACCCTCGGAGTTATGGAAACACATTCAAATTACCAGGCAATTGTGCCTTGGGCTCCTTTTGGCAGCCACACTGGATCAGCCCCTCTGCAGTCGGCATTATGTCCTGATGCCAATGGATGATTATATTATTCAACCAATACAAATGGAAAATGACCTAATCAGCTCTCCATTCAGACAAGACTTAGACCTATAGTGAGTGGCAGGAGGCTTTCCAAAGGAAAGTCCTGGAAAGGCGTATGGGACACATGCAATCCCAACCTCACGGATGGAGGACAGACTTAGCGACATCAGGAAAACGTACTCCCATACACAGGGCTAAGCGACGAAAGGAACTCAGGAGTACAAATCGCAGGCTTGCGGCTAAGTCCCAGTTCACTCCCTTAGAAATGGTATGATTTTGAGAATGTTAGTTAATGTCTCAGTCTCTAAGTATCTTCATGCAGGGGGCAGCATGGGGGGGGGGGCGAGACGCGTTTCCCTGCCTCCTTCACAGGGCTGTTGTAATAATAACATAAGGTAATGTTTGGGGAAAATTTTACCGTCTGAAATTGTTTTGTGTCTTCAAGAGACTCTTAACAGATTATTGGAGAACCTCCCCGTTTTAGTGGCAGTCCCTGGGATCCTGGTGGCAAACTTTGGTCCCTAAAATTAATACTATACAACAAAAGAAAATAGAACCCTGTCCGGCCAGATCAGTCTTCTGGAAAGACTTGCACCCACATTTTTATGTTTCTTTTCAACTACATATATTTTTTAGGACCCCTGCCTCTGGTGGAAGAGAATTGTCTTCTGGGTGGTATGGGTGAGAAAGTTGCCAAACAAACCTGAATTATCCAGAGGCCTGTAAAATGCGCAATTGCTTTTTAAGAGGCATGGAGATATTGTGTGTTCCTTTCGATTTTTGGCAGTAACCATTTTCTGCAATTTGTGGTTTTGCAATTTCTCTTTACACAGACAACACCCTGGCTCTCATTCAATGCCCCATTGGTGGGGGTGAGGTGGAGGGAAGAGAGAGATTCCCTGGGGCTCTGACTGATCCAGAAAAAGAAGGAAATGTTAATGAAATAAGTCAGAAAGTACAGCTAGAGACTAGTGGAAGTTGGTTGGTTAAAGGGGAAGAAACAACTTCTAAAAATTGCGTGGTGAGGCTAGGATTTTATCTGGGGCTTTCATTATCCTGGCAAAGGTCCGTTGCCCTAAACTCATCGTGCCTCTCCACTGAGCTTTGTCTGGGTTACCATGTCAATCTCTTTTCTTCTTCCTTCCTGTATGCAACAAGCCTAGAGCAGCAGCCTCTTCCATTGGCTGCCCCGGCCTCTTCGGGTGGGATTTTCTTTAAATATTCCACCTCTAAGCATCCACTTTCCAATTATATGAACTTGGTTTGTGTGAGTTAGCTCAAGATCCATGGGCCAGAATTTTTTGCTCTCTTCTGGTTGCCTTTTCTTCCCCTTCCCTCAGGCTGAAATGCCCTTTGCAGAGGAGGTCTGTGGCCCCAACGGGGTACATGGATGTGGCGTTTATCTAGGGGAGAGTGATTTGTTCTGTTTCTATTCATCGCCTCTGGAAAGGCTCTGCAGACTTTTGTTTGCTTTTTTTTATGGCTGCTAGGCACTGTGCTGAAGGATTTAAAGTTGCATCCAGTGTTAACCTTGTATTCCTCCTCTGTTCACTTCTTTATATCAAAACAGTTCCCTGTTCTCCACGGAGTGGATTCCCAGGGCTCATGCCCATAGTTCATGGGCTTTCTTTGCACAAAGCTCGGATATTTCTTCTCTTGTCATGACCTAAATGTCGCTGCTTCTTTTGTTTCTAAAAGGAATATAAAGATAATTGCTACTCATCTGTTAATTATAATCCCCCCAATTCCGCATATTTGGGAAAAATATGATCTTACTGTGTGTGTGTGTTCTAAAGGTTTAGGGAATTGTGTCTGTTATGAAATCATAAATCATGGGATTTTTATTTTAGAAGACGCTTTCATCATGATGCAGTTCAGTGTCCCACACCCCAACCCATTGTCCTTCTCACAGCACCCTCTCTAGAAGCCCTTCCCCTGTCTCACATGGTAGCCCCATCCAATTTTTAATAGCTCCATACTCAAACTTTCTTTTGCTAACCCCGGATAACCTCTTTATGACTTCAGGTCATTTTTGGTGGTTTTGCCTTCTGGAGCAGCTCAGAAGAAGTTGACTCCTTCTTCCACATGACAACCCTCCAAATATTTTGGAATCTGATCACATATACTTTCGGAGTCTTCCTTGTCCAGGCTAAACATCCCTGATTCCTTCAGCCATCCTTCATATGAATTGGTTTAGTTATCCTTTTCCAGTTGTGCCAGTTGCATTTTTCCACGTCTGTCTTAAAATGTTACAGCCTGAACTGAAAAGAATACTGTAGAGATGGCCGGCCATATAGAGTTCCAAGAAGAAAAAAAACAAAACAAAACAAAAATCTCTCATCGTGGACATGTCAGTTGTATTACTAGAACCTCAGATCACATCAAAAAAGTAACAGCTCTTCAGTCCCACGGTTAATCCTAAAATCTCTAGATAAGTTACATAAAAGCTGCTGCGAAAGCAGATTTTTCCAGTCCTGTACTTATGCAGTTGGTTTTGAATACTACGCAAACCCTTACATTTTTCCCTGTATCACTGATTAGGTTCAGAATATTAGTGGAAACTATTAGGAGCTTTTTGAATTTGAATTATTTTAAATCTTGTACCAGTTTGACCCGCCTATTGACTTCACTCAAGAGATTGATAAAAATACTGAATATCTGGAGTTTAAGCTCCTCAAAGGTGGAATCATGTTTTATTTATCTTCGTCTCTCCTGAAATATGTGTGACATTCTGTTAAACGACCAGATGCTCAGTAAATGCGCTTATTAAATCAGTCAATAGAATCAAATACAGGCAGCTTCCAGCACCCTGACAGGGACCTGTCTTTAGATTGATGTCAGTGCCCTTTAGAAACTAAGCAAAGTATTAATTTTAAACTATACTGCTAATGCTTGGCAATTTTGTGGCA